TCATTTAAAGTTGCACGGAAATTACTTAAAATTACTCGAAACGAGAGAAAATATAAACACAACATATTTAAGATCTACATAACGCATATAATTTGAACAAAACAAGGATCAATATATTTCACGAACTCACGCGACATTCCGAGTGACTTTTCGAGAACCAACCATGTTTTCTATGGTTCCGGGATATGCGAGTACATATGTATGATTTCGTTGTAAAAAAGAACCAAGACGGTTAAAAAGATGGTTCGCTCATCAATGGTATATAAAGTGTATGCATGCATAACATTATGGCTGGCATAACATTAGGAATACGCCAAAAAATTAAAAAAATTTTAAAAAAATTTATTGGCATCTACTATGCCTGCCGGCCTGCCTGATACTGTAGCAAACAATTTGTTGAAATATTTATTTGGATTATTTCATTATTTGTTACGTATTTAATACGTATTTATTATATTTCATAATATATATTTCATAATTTGTTATTTCAGTATTTGAATATACTTCATCTTTCTTTAAAACATTATCATCAAATATTACTTGAATGTTTCTTTTAATAATATTTATAATCTCATTTGTTTTGTTAATTTGATCAATTTCTTTGGACCAATATTATTTTTTTTACCGTTACCCCAGGAGGTCTAGCGTCAACTTCCTTAGAAAGTAAGATCACGCGTAATTTTAGAGAATGACGATATGTTGTGTTGCTTGAATATGATGTTTAACAGCATTGGAAATTGGTCTTGTGGTGTTTGTACTTTCTTCGGCTAGTAAACTTTATTTATTTAACAATATAACAATGTTAATAGTTATTTAGTTACGTATTAACAATCAACAAGTAAAAGAATTGTCGACAAAGTCATGTTAATCATCGTAATTAACCTTGTCACATAAACATATGAGCAAAGCTTTGCTGTAGAAGTTACACGGAATAAATTATGAAATCACCATTCCATCTATATTCCATATATATTCTATATACATTCCATCATAAGTAATAATAATCATAGTTACAGTAAATTTTTCAAAAGTCACATTTATATTTATACGTATATCGATATTTATTTATTATAGTTACTTATAATTTTTTAAAAGTAATGTTACAATAAACAAGCATAAAAAAGAAAGTTTTTCTTCACACACAACAACAAAAAATCTCCCACAGACGACTATTTCGGAACGGTAATCTCATCAGGTGCTCATCTTTCATTAAAAATTTATACACATTTTCGTTATTTTTATTAGAGTTATTATTTGAGCTATTATAAAACTATTTATCATTATTGTTTATAAGTTGTTATTATATAAGTTACTATAAGTTGTTTTTATAAGTTGTTATTATAAGTTGTTATAAGTTGTTTGTAAACTTTATAAAACCCCCAATTCTTGTCTTTTCCGAAATTTTAACTCTCTTGCTTTTTTGTCGGAGAATATATATATATATATAAAAAAACTATAAATTTTTTTTTTTGATAAAATTTTATCAGTCGTTAGTTTTTTCTCGTTTTTCTTTTTTTAAAAAATTTTTTCAAATTTTTCTTCATAAATTTTCATTAAAGTTATATAATATCGCTAATAATTACGAAATTTTTTTTTTTTAATTACATTACCGTTATACTCTCTTTTGACGTTTTTTTTTAAAAAAACATTTAAGAGCTTTTATACCATTAATATACGAACTTTTATTTCAAGTTGATTCTTGAACCATAAATACATTAGTTGCGCTATTTGCTATTATTATATATTACATATATATTACATATTATATAAACATATATTTCTATATATATACATATAAACTTGAAACTTTATGTCTTCGCGTTTCGGTTCGACTCTTGCAGCAGTGATTGGTTTTGGAATGGTTGATAATAGTTATGAACAAGATGGTCGTCATTACCGAGATACATCGGACTCTGTATCCGTTATTTCAAATAGTGAATCACTTAATTCTTCACCTACAACTTCACCGGCAAATTCACCTACTTCGCTCCCTAATTTACAACGTCGAGCATCAGAGTCTGTCGCCGATTCTACTCAAATTCAATTTAGAAAAATGCCTGTTCGAAGATATACTTTACCTTCCAAGATGAATCCTTTTAGCTTGATTGTTGGAAATGCTAATGACACTTCGAGTCTTGCAAGTCGTATATCGAATACTAAAATTTGGGAGAGTAGCCGAGAGGATTCTTCAGTTCAAGTTGCCATGGTAATTATTAACTAAATGTTAAATGTATTAATATAACAAATGTCAATATGAAATGTTTAATCTAATGTAATAATATATTAATACTTTATATTTTTTTTACATTAATAGGAACACGTCCAATTTGGCTTGTAATTTCTCGAAATTTCTCCTCTAAAAAAAAAAAAAAAAAAACCGAAAAAAGAAAAATAAAAAAAAAAAACAAAAAAAAAGACCGAATGTATGACCATTTGGCTGTTCACTGAAATCTCTCTCTCTCTCTCATGCAATATACTCAGAATCGGCTCCAGAACAATTAGTATCTTGGTCCCATAATAGGCCTTTTTTTGTCAACTTTTCTTGGGCTGACGATCATTGGTCACATCTTCAAATGAAATAAACATTTGTACGGATAATACGCTTTATTCATTCAGTGATGTTTAGCATAGTTGTTTGTTTTTGCCTCTCTACACACAAAAGTCTCAACATTCTTGTTCTTTGTATATATTTTTAACAATCTTTTTGGTTTTTGTTAAACCAACCGTTATATAGCTTTAAAAAAAAACAAAAAAAAAAATAACTGTAATTTGTTTTTTTATTGTCACTTATGTGTTTACACTTATATATAGTATGTTTTTTTAAGATTGTAATTTTTTTTTTTTAATTAAAATTTTTTTTTTAAAAAAAAGATAAATTTTCTGATATCGCATCAATATATTATCTGTTATTAAAGTTAATAAAGTTAATGAACAAATGAATAGTATATATTAATAATCTATTATTAATGAAATTTGCAAGAAAATGAACAGTATTTTTAATAATAATACTTTTACATCAAATGTATTCACTACCCCACAAAACCTTAACAAGTGGCAACAAACTTTAACAATTTTTCAATTATCACAACCATGCGCTTTTTATTTCTTGGGATTGTTCCTTTACTCCTCTCTAATAATTTTACTAATAATTTTACTAACGCTAACCTCTACGTAATAATTCTAATAATTGAATAAATGATCACGTGGTGCAAAAAAATGAACATAAACGATTACGAGGATTTTCATGAACAATCGGACGATTTCGTATGTTAATTAATGATTGTCTACTAAAATAACTTTAAACTGTATTAAACAATTGTTGATACATAAAATAACTTGTTTCGTTAAAAATCTTTGAAAATTGACGTGCCAAAGACATCATCGGGCATTTCATAAAAAAAAGTTCCCTCGTGAACAATTTTCATTTACTAAATTATCAATTTTTTTGTTATCCAAAAAAATATATGAATGCTAGTACAAGAATAGTTAAAATTCATAAAATATGTAAAAAGAGTACGAAAACTGGAATGAGTAAACCAATATATCTCATTTTAGATTGTCTTTTAGATTGTCTTTTAAATGATCTTTTAGGGGTAATATCAAAGGTCGCGTGGACAAAAAAAATAAAAAAAACAAAATGGGAATTAACCATTGTTTTATTAATGTATATACCATGATATTGTATTTTTTTTTGTTTTCGTTTTTCAAAAAAAAAACGTTTAAAATAAAATAAATAAATAATAAAATAAATAATAAAATAAATAATAATAATAAAATAAATGTTTAATAAAATAAATTTTTTAAAATAAATGCTCAAAGTAAATGTTATTTAAGTACATACATACAGTATGTGCATACATAATTTCCTTCTTTGAATCGTTATGCATATTTGCCGCTAAGATCTTATACGTACATGATTATGACTATATATCGATATGACTATATCTGAATGTAGATGATTTAATAATCTTTGAAAAATAAACGGCATTTTAAAATAACTTTACATAAAATATATAATATAAAAGATAACCTTTTTTCATTCATTCATATTAAAAATCGTTTAAAATCGTTCGACCATAATAATAATAAAATAATATTTAAGAACGAATTTCGCCGATTCACGTGTTATGTTCGCTGAATATCTTAACAGTTAAGGTTTTGTATGGCGATAGCATACGTAATGTAAGTGTAAAATAAGTAAGTTAAGTAAGTATAAGGTGATAAAAGTTTGTTTTTAAAATATGCATAACGACACAAAATTTGAGATATACCATACAGTGTGAACAATACCCGGTGTGATGCATCAATCTGCATTATTTATCACTGAATAATAAAAAAGATCTTTGAGAATGCTTGTGTCATGTGATCCTTTTGGGAATCTGGTGATTGAGAATCTATTGAGTATCGAATGATGCAATCTATTTAGAATCGAATGATACAATATATTAAGAATCGAATGATGCAATATTAAAAGTAAACGCGAGACAATGATAGATAGATAGTTTTCTATGTAGAAAAGGGTTTTTTTTGTGCAGAAAATTTTTTATGACAATAGATTTCTCGAAAATTTTAAAAATTATGTAGGGGTTTTTGATTACTTAATACGCCCAACATATACTTCTTTATATTTCTTATTCTTATACTTCTAATCTTATACTTCTAATCTTATACTCTAATCTTATATTTCTGGTCTTATATTTCTGGTCTTATATTTCTGGTCTTATGCTTCCGGTCTTATACTTCCGGTCTTATACTTCTGATCTTATACTTCTAGTCAAGAGAAAGTTCGTCCCTGATTTCTAATTCGTTAACGTTAACATCTATAGATTTATTGTAACATGTGACTACAGAATATAAACGGTTGATACTGTGTGATATCGATATATAAATGATTACGTATAAAAAAAATTTAATGTATATCGATATACTTATTTGCATTAATTATACATATTAGACATACTAGTTATGTCTAAAATAATTTCTTTCTTCGGTTTTACAAAATGAATTCACCGCAACCAGATTCCGAGTTTCATTCGGAAGTAGAATATGCTTTTACTCCTAATTTCTTGGATCCTAATAGAATAAGATCGCGACGAAATACTTTTACTTATGGTGATTTCGGTACTTCTCAACTACCCCATGTCTCTCTTTGCCCTTCTCCTACTGTTGGTTCTAGTTCTACTGACGCTCATTCTGAGCTCGTTCCTTATTCAAAAGAATGGACTGTTATACTGTAAGTATTATTTTATTCAAACTTTTATTATCTAGTTATAGTTCTAGTTTTTAGATCTAGTTATGAAACGCGTTTCATGTAATATCTCTCGTTTCGACAATTATATCGAGAATCTTTGATTATCATTGAAATAAAGAAAAACTTTTATATCAAATTTTTTATTCCCAGTTAAATAAATCAATAAATATATATATATATATTTATATATATTTTGGCGTAATTCATCTTCAGGCGTAGTGAAAACGCTGGTCAACTCGTTCTTTACAATACGACCAATCGTCGCGTTTCAGTACGACGGTTACCTCAAAATAATTCCATTCCATCTAATCAGGTTTCTTCTGACACCAATTATGTTTCAAGCATATTTGTTTAAACCAATTCTTGTGGGAATCTTTGGTTAATGTCCCAGCTCATTTATTATTCTAAAAGGCTTTGTCTTCTCCTCATATGTGCGCTTTATGTAGAAGGCCCCTTCTTTCAACTACTACGGTTGGTTATTTCAAATGCATTGATCTTTATTATTTATATCTATATCTATATCTATGTGTTCCTTTCTTTAATATATATATAATTTATTTAAAGGCTTCAAGCTCAGATTTTATGCATAGAAATTACTTTCGATTATTAGAGAATTCTGAAAGGTTGGTTGATCTTAAATAAATATTTTTTTTTTTTACAATTCAATTATTAATTAATTAATTAATTAATTCATTTATTTAATTCATGTCTTCTTCAAATTAAACTTTATTATAATAGCGTACTTAATGGACAGTCTTCTCAATTCGTACAACCTTCAGATTCAACACAATCATTTTCTCACATTACTACAGCTTCTTCTTCTTCTGCTTCCTCTTTTAATCCTGATGTTGAATATATTTCATCCCTTTCTGAAAGCTCATTTAATCAAGGTTATTATGAAAGGTTTTTTATTGAAGAAAGAAAATTGGGTAGAGGTTCTCGTGGTTCGGTATTCTTATGCAAGGTAAATTTATTAAAATATTGTTTAAATATAAATTTATTGATTATTGATTTATCATTAATAATATTGATTTAAATTTTTTTTTTTAATTTCAGCATGTATTGGACAATGTTCATCTTGGTGAATATGCTATCAAAAAAGTAGCTGTAGGTAAGAATGTGTTGCGTTTTTTCTAGTTTTAATTAATGAATAAATGAATTTATTACTTAATTCATGAATAAATGAATTTATTAATTCATGAATAAATGAATTTATTACTTAATTCATGAATTAATTGATTAATTATTCATTTATTTATTTATTTTATTGAATCAAATCTGAAATATTTGAAATATCTGAAAATATTTCATTTCAATTATCCTTTATGAATATTTTCAATAGGAGATAATCATGCATGGCTGGTTAGAATGTTGAGAGAAGTTCATTTATTGGAAAGATTACATCATCCAAATATTGTGGATTACAAACATGCTTGGTTAGAGCATCATCAGTTGACAACTTTTGGTAAATTCCCATTGCATTAATGATATAAATTATGTTTGTGACTATAAGACTATATTATATAGGTGCAATATTTATATAATTTCTATTTGTTTTCTATTGCTTGATTTTTTTAGGCCCACCAGTTCCATGTTTATTCATACTAATGGAACGTGCTAATGGTGGCAATTTGGAAGAATTCATTGATATTCAACCATCCACTTTTTCCATGCAAAAAGATTCTAATGATCATCATCTTACACCAAAAGAACGTTTACTTCGTGCGAGAATGTTTCATCCAAGTCATTTAAATGATCAACCAACCCTCAACTCTCCTTTACCTTCAAAACGATCTTTGAACCTTCGTGAAATTTGTTCTTTATTTATGGATATTTGTGAAGGTTTAGCTCATTTACATGGACAGGGTATTATCCATCGAGATTTAAAACCTTCTAATTTACTATTACAATATGATAATTCGGAAGATTTGACTGGAATGTTCGTATATCAATATCGTCTACTATATTTACTATCTATATTTACTGTCTATATTTACTATCTATGTTTACTGTCTATATTTACTATCTATAACTATCAATAATTATCTATTTATTTATATATTATTTAGACCAAGAGTATTGATATCGGATTTTGGTGAATGTGAAATTTTAGACCAACTCTCCGAACGT